TTTTTTTTTTAAGTTATTTATTTTGAGAAAGAGAGAATGCATGTGGGGAAGGGGCAGAGAAAGAGGGAATCCCAAGCAGGGATTCTGTCAGTGCAGAGCCCAGTGCGGGGCTCAAACTCAAGAACTGTGAGATCGTGACCTGAGCTGAAGTCGGATATTTAACCTGAGCCACCCAGGCGCCTCTGTGCCAGGAACATTCTAAGGTCTGAAAATATAGAGGTGAATAAGATTTCCCGTTGCTCACATTCTAACGGGAGAAGACACATCATCGATTTGTGCCATGACTATATGGTTCTTATTCCTCAACTTAGTAGGCTAGATAAACAGCCTTTTAAATATGTTTTTGTCGGGCGCCTGGGTGGCACAGTCGGTTAAGCGTCCGACTTCAGCCAGGTCACGATCTCCCGGTCCGTGAGTTCGAGCCCCGCGTCAGGCTTTGGGCTGATGGCTCAGAGCCTGGAGCCTGTTTCCCATTCTGTGTCTCCCTCTCTCTCTGCCCCTCCCCCGTTCATGCTCTGTCTCTCTCTATCCCAAAAATAAATAAACGTTGAAAAAAAAATTTTTTTTAAATAAATATGTTTTTGTCTATATTTTATTTATCGCCCTCAGGCCTAAAAACTTAGATAGTTCCATGTCTTTCCCCGTCCTACCCCTGCCTTGTTATATGTGATCCTGTGAGCACAGCAGGAACATCTCATGTTTCAGTCTCTACCAAGACGGGAAGTTTTCACGCTCTCTTCCTTCATTGTTGACGGCCATGTCATGGCTGAGATGGCCTTCGTCCTGTTCCGCGCAGCCTCTTCAGGTCCAATGGTGCACTCTGCTATTTCCAAGCTACTCTAGAAGCAGTAGAAGTAATTTTACTTCTTATAATTGAAGCTGAAGCACAGGAATCTTGGAGAGGCTCTCTACAGCTGAAATACCTCCACGCGCCCTGCATTCTCTTTGAGATCCTGATGCCTCCTCAGGCCTCTGTTTCAGATTGAAGGCCCAGGTTTCTTCTTCTCTCGGGTTCTGCTGATACGCTCCTTAGTCTCTGCTTCTCTGGCACCGGGGAAGCCAGGAGCAGGATCTGTGTCTGTGAAACACGGCGAACCTCCTGCCTTCATCCACCCCTTCCCTGTTTTCCTCTTCCTAAATAATGAAATGAAAATTTTTCTGATCTAAGGGGAACTTGTATCTCTTAATTTCTGTATCACACGTTTTGGTTATATCCCAAAGGGGGAGGGAACTTCAGGGGGGAAAAACACACTTTGCATAGTATTTAAAAATTTTAACCTGCCACACCGGTCGATAAACAAGAACTGATTGTAATAAGAGTGTTGAAGGAAATAAGCTTGTTGGACACCAGTTAGTGTCCATTTGCACCTGTCTGTCCATCACCTTCTCCAAGAGCAGTGCCCGTGCATCGTTCGGGCTGCTTCCAGTGGCATTGAGCTGCCGAACATCTTGCTCACTCTTGAAGGACCATCCTAAAAAACAGTGAGAATGCAGACCAGGGCACCAAAGACACAGGTCAAATCCAGCCTGTCACCTGCTTTTGTGTTGATCATGAGCTCAGAATGGTTTTTGTATCTTTACGTGACTCAAAAAACAATAATAATAAAAAGAATATTTCAAAACATGGGAAAATTATATGAAACTAATATTTCAATGTCCGTAGTCAAGTTTTATTTGAATGCAGCCGCACTCACGTTATCTAAGGCTGCTGCCGTGAGCTGGTATAGCCAGACGAGGCTAAAATATTTACATTTTGGTCCCTCCCAAAGAGAGGTTGCTTGAAGCTCATCTAAATGATCAGGTTACTGCTTGGCGTGTGACCATCTTCTCATCCAGAGTGCTTGCCAGTGTGCGGAATTGCCAGTGAAATTTGTAAACCGGGGAGTTAATTTTGCAAACGTCAGTTTTGAGGGTGTTACATTTGAACGGAGATTTTAAAGTCATCAAATGAAAATTTTGGGTCTTTTATAACGTAGGTTTCAAAATGTGACTTTGGAAAGAAAAACGGCTAATGTTTATTGAGCACTTCCCTTGTGTTCAGATCCTAATATAAACACATCATATGTGTTTAACCCTCGTATATTTAACCCTCATAAAACGCCTATACAACAGCCCCTCTTATTATTCCCATTTTTCAGATGATAGAACCGGGATACAGAAAATTTGAGTAGTTTACATCATCTAGCCTGTTTATGGGTGAAATTTGGATTTGAACCTACACAGCCTGGGTCCAGAGCCCGCATTCTTTTTTTTTTTTTTTTAATTTTTTTTCAACGTTTTTTATTTATTTTTGGGACAGAGAGAGACAGAGCATGAACGGGGGAGGGGCAGAGAGAGAGGGAGACACAGAATCGGAAGCAGGCTCCAGGCTCCGAGCCATCAGCCCAGAGCCTGACACGGGGCTCGAACTCACGGACCGCGAGATCGTGACCTGGCTGAAGTCGGACGCTCAACCGACTGCGCCACCCAGGCGCCCCTGGAGCATTCTTAATAACCATGCTGAATGGGAATATGGTAGGAGATTCAAAAAAATGCTCTTTCCAACCTAACATTTAATTCAGGCTATAGACTTTGAAATTTGCCTTACATGGTACTTCCACGGCGGAAAACAGATTCACAACACAACTGCTAGTATCATTTATAGAATAGTAATTTATCGTTTGCATCTGTCCTAATTTCGTGGTTGACACAGAATTTTTAGATACATTAACCGGTCTACCACCCTGTGAGGTAAGTAAATCCTCAGCTCCATTCCACAGATGGAAAACAGAACAAAACTGAGCATCTGTGGGATCATGTATCTAGGAAATGATAGACCAGGAACTCAAACTCAACTCTGATTTCTACACCGGAATTCAGTCTGCCGTACCTGTGTCAGGCAGACTTTCATGACTTTTGCCATATCGCTACACCAGCTACACTATTGTTGACATAGTAATTTTCTGGAAATGGATTCTCTGTGACTTAAATACCTGATTAACCTTAGCAGTAACGTACATCAAATCATGACTTTGACTCCTCCTGTATTTATCAAACACTTCTTCTCTGCCCACAATATTCCAAGCGCTTTACAGTAAATATTAACTCCTTTGAGCCGCAGTGAAACTCCTGAAGGGTAGATGCTATCACTATCCCCATTTCATATGTTAAGAAACCAAAACAAAGAGAGAGATTAAGTAAGTAACTCGTCCAAGGGCACATACCTGGTAAATAATGCAGCAGGATTTGAACCTCCGCAATCTAACTTTTGAGTTCTGTCCTTTTAACCCCTTAACTTCTTTGACATATTCAATTTATTTTCTAATACATTAAAATAAGTCCATCAGTAGTAATATTTAAAAGATTCAGCTGTGTACCATCTCAGATATTTCATAAAAACTGTATTGTACCGTGGTGGAATGTTCCAGAATGCCTATAACCTCCTGAGTATGTAAGAGAGAACACAGTCTGTTGACTTCACTGAACAGTGAAGGGAAAATATTAGAGAAAATAATATTAGGGAAAATAATAACAAATATTAGGACACAAAGTAAATACACAATAAATTACTGGTATAATATGAAATATAAGCCATGAAAAACATGGTGCTTTTTTTTTAATTTGGAGACTTTTATTGTTGATAGGAATCTTAAGTTAGTAATCTTTCCCAAGGAATTTCTTACACAGCACCCTTTCGTGTGATCATTTCATTTCTGCTTACGCACCTTCAGACAAAGAGAATGTACAACTTTCACAGCTACCGTCATCCAGCTCCGTTGTTAGAGAATCTTTCCATCTTTGATCTCAAACCTGCTTCACTGACCCCTTCATTTATTTCGGTTGGTTTTAGAAGTGTTCTGTGATTCCTTCCTTTTTCTCTCCCTTCCTGGCCATGTTTGACATAAGCTAAAAATAAAATTAGTTTGTATCCCTTGAGACCTGACCAGCTGCCTGTGGCCAGACTTGATGGTGCTTGTTAGTGGGAGAGCAGGCTGGGGTTAGAATGTTTCGTTGGACGTCCAGAAAATAAATCAGTCTGCAGGACATCGACGTGGTCATGCATTCTTGTGTTTCTATGAGTACCTGGTCTCAGAGAGCAGCAAATACACATGTAGCTATAAAATAATAAGATGTGGTGTTCTTAAGTGAAATGTGAGTATGTTCTTAATGCCGTTCCTGCAGGGAGGTTCCAGAATGGTTTTGTGCAGGAAATGGTATGTTTGGAATACCTGTATAGTGTCTCAAGATATCTCCTCGAAGGGACAGTAAAACTGTGTGAGCATAAATACCGCCATATATATTTCACATCAGTTTCTTTGATCAGACTCACTGCTAGGAGTTGGTTAACATTTTTCCGTAAGTTCTGATTTTTTTTTAATTATATGAGGTACGTCCCGGAGAAGCGCTCCTGTCCAGCCACGTCTGTCTCCCACATTTTAACATATGTGTATCTCACGATGATATTCTCCTGTCCCGCAGGCATTTCCTATTCAAAACAGGAACAGGGACAACGCCACTGTTCAGCACTGCAACCCCAGGATACACAATGGCATCTGGCTCTGTTTATTCGCCGCCTACTCGGCCACTACCTAGAAACACCCTGTCAAGAAGTGCTTTTAAATTCAAGAAGTCTTCAAAGTACTGTAGCTGGAAATGCACCGCCCTGTGTGCTGTAGGGGTCTCCGTGCTCCTGGCAATCCTCCTATCATATTTTATAGGTAAGAACAAACATGCACAGTTACTCTGTCTGTGAGTTGGGCTGTTCTGTTGTGGTTCTGTTGGTTTTATCTAGGTATGTGGCCCGGAAGTGCATTACGAGGTCTATTTTCTGGAGGAGGGGTTAGTTAATACCTTGTAAATCGCAGAGCGTCTTAAGCGATTTTCAGCGAACTTAGATAAGGAGAAAGAAGGACAAAGAAGGAGGTATGTTCTTTGCACAAAGAAGGAGGTATGTTCTTGGACACAGGCTAGGGTGTGAACTTGTGTTTGACTTACCCCTCTTGAAGCGTGGATGATTCTGTGACATTTCACGTACACAAAATCATTCATGCACTTGCACGAAGGCTTTCTAGGCAGGAGTCCCCCTCGATGCATAGTCAATGGGGAGCTGTCTCCTACGTGTGATATTACACATCTTTCAGCTAACTCAGCTATCTAAATGTAAAACTCATCACTCAGGACCATCATCTTGCACTCAGCAACACTCTCCGGAGAACCACGCGTCCATAAAACAATGAATGGATTACATACTCATTCATACATGTGGATTTTTCATCTTTTCTGATGTAGTATTGATCATATTTTTCATTTACTAGTAACCCAAATGATGGAAGCTGCTAAGAGAAGCCGTAAATATTCCTTTTATTTAACTGTTTCATAACAGGTGTGAGCATTCGAACTATTAGAAATGGCTTTTTTTTTAATGTCAGAAATGACCACATCGGATTTTGATCCGCTTGTGAAATGCTAATGGTGTCCACCGAGATTAATCACCGACTATATGGTTTATCTAACAAGAACAGCAGCCAGGGGTGCACCCTCCAGTTTACAAAGTGATCTGTGAAGCCCATGAAATTCTAGAACTGAATAAGAGAATTACAGAGCTGTATATGGAATAGTATGATGCTTTTGCAATGAACTGATTTCTTTTATTAGCTACAGTACCCCTCACTTATAAATTATATATTTTGGAAAGTGAAATGCCATTTTGAATCACAACATTTGAAAGAAGTACAGAATGGGGCGCCTGGGTGGCTCAGTAGGTTGAGGGTCCAACTTCGGCTCAGGTCATGATCTCAAGGTTCGTGAGATCGAGCCCCGCATCGGGCTCTGTGCTGACAGCTCAGAGCCTGGAGCCTGCTTCGGATTCTGTGTCTCCCTGTCTCTCTCTCTGCCCCTCCCCCACCCTCTCTGTCTTTCTCTCTCTCAAAAATAAATAAAAACATTAAAAATTAAAAAAGAAAGAAATCTAGCATAACAAAGCATGAAGGAACTTGAGAGATGATTGAATCAGAGATGGCAAGGTTGGGCCACGTTGCGTGCTATTATTTCCAACGCTTTGTCGATGGCAGGCATCACTGATGAATCAGGGCACTCTTTCCCACTAAACCTGGATACGGCCTCATTATCCTCATGACCACGATTCACACACCACCTCAGCCACTGTCCCTCAGGAATGAAAGCAAGACGCAACCTTTTTGTTACTTTCCAATCTGAGTCAACTCCCTCCTTGTAAAAATGCTCAAACCACACCCTAATGAAACAATGCTGTGCTGTTTCATAACACTCTAGGTAAATGAGGAATAGCACAACGCAAATTGGGATTCAGAGACAAACTTCTAGCATTCAGCTAGAAAATACCTAGCCATTAAGAGAATCTCTTCTACTTAGTTGTATGAATTATCTGTATCTGTCAGCGGTGTGCTGCTAAGGAATTTTAAATGGTTCTGAAATGCACCGGGCATAAATGGGATGTAATAAATTAAGCATACATGTTTGTAGGGGACTTTTTTTTTTTTTTTTACCATAGTACATGCCAGACAGACAGATAACTACTCTGTGGGGCTGGAAGTCAGGGTCCATGCCGTTGCTGTGCTGTGAGACCTATTTTCGGATGGTACACGCTTGTGCCCCACCAGCCGTTGAATATTTTGGATATCAGTTCTGATACCATTTAGTTTTGTTTACAATGTGTGACTAGCAGGAAAAAATAGCATTTTAATGTGAGATTAGCTCCTTATTATTTGTGAGAGTTGGACTCCTTTCAAGGCTCCCTTCGTGAACTTGATAGAGTATCAGACTTCTAAGTAAAAACTCAGAATGTTCCTTTTCTTCAAATTGCCCATTTTTCTTGTTTGGCGGTTTGCATCACACTTTATTCCTGCCACGGCCACTCTCATAAACTTGTCCTTGTGATTTTATCTTTCCCCACATGCAAATACAGTTAATATATTTTTTATATAGTCAGTATACTCCGTACGACAGGTATATGCTCTAGTTACCGTGTTGGACCTTAAGGCAACGCAACCCAGGTGTTATCCAGCAAAAATGACTTGCATCATCAAAGAATTATCTCCTATTCTTCTTGCTTTAATTAAGCACAGATATACTTAGAATGTTCACTGGTCTTCCAGTGCTTCAATGACTAACACACTAACGCAGTGGTTTTTGTTGTTTCAATCGGGTAAAGGACTCGTTCATCAGCTGGCATGATAAATCTTTCCAGACTGAAGAAGCCACCTTTACCCTTGAAAACAAGAATAGAACACCCCTCCCTGTCAGGGAAGGTTGTCTTTTTCTGTTGAGTGTGCATATAAAGCAGGGATGGAGAAAAAAGGAACCCTTGCCTGTCCAGCTTAGATCAGTCTGATAAACCCCAGAATCAATGGGGAGACCGATGTCACCATCAAATTGACCTCACAACCTTTAACAAAAGTGCTGCCATCCTGAAACTTTTTGTTCCCCCGTTCCCTTAGAGGTCCCTTTTCTCGCACGGACTGTCGATATAAATAAAGTTCAAACCTTAAGAAAAAAATAAAATAAAAAGCTTGAGGAATTACCTCTCTCCTAGAGTTTTCTTTGTCACCTTCCAGTAAGGTCATGAGAAGTTAGGAGAATGTAGTATTAGCACGTCTCTCGTCTACGATAGAGTTATCTTGGGAGAGTCAAGGTGAATAGCTTTCTGAAAGGGAAGGAGGACGGGGGGAGAATGGGTTTTGTTTGTTTTTCCTGTTTGTATCAGAATTTCAGAGAATAAGGAGAAGCTGGAGAAGAGAGTGAAAATGCATTCCCATGGGTGCTGCGACCTTTGTGCACGGGTAGCCGCACGTTAACTTCTTGGTGTATACCTCTCCAGATATTTTTTCCATGCATATATACGCTAGAGTTCCATACCTTTAATCCATTTGGTACCAAGCTTTCTCGCTTACCATTTGTGAAACGTCGTATGTGTTTGATTTTATTTAGTGGGTGTGTTTCACTCGGTCCCAAAAGTGCGGTGACTGTTTCCTTATGCATTTAAGTGTGTGTGTGTGTGTGTGTGTGTGTGTGTGTGTGTGTGTGTGTAAATTTTTTATCTGAATAAATTCGTTGAAAGCATATACCAAAATGGTAGGCACGTCTTACATTTTGCAAACCATGGCCAAATTACCCTGTTTACACAACTACCAATGCTACTCATTATCAGTAACCAATCTCTTTTAACCGTTGCCAATCTCTTAGGCTAAAGCATTTTATTGTTGTTCTCGTTTATTACTGAATATCTTTTCACAGACTCATGGACCATTTCTGTTTCTTCATGTGTGCCCAGTTTCCCGCACGGGGCTTTTCTCCTTTTTCCCCTTTCATTTGCAAGTGTTCATTAAGGATATGAGTCATTTGTCACATATGTTACATATTTTCTAATTTATTTTTAATTTTTCTCATAATTGTTTTGCCATATGTTGTATAGAATGTTTTAGGCAATCACGTTTATCAATGTTTCTCTATAATATCTTATTGTCATGTTATACCTATAAAGTATTCACTCTCTAAAGAGTTCTTTTAATTTATTTAAATTGGCACCTTTGGTTCAGCATCTGTTGATTTTGGCTCGGGTCATAATCCCAGGATCATGGGATCAAGCCCTGTGTTGGAATCTGTGGTGACGGCAGAGAAACATCTTGGGATTCTCTCTCTCCCTCTCTCTCTCTCTCTCTCTGCCCTTACCTCCCCCAAAAGGAATAAATAAACTTTATTTTTTTGACACATGAAATAGTTTATTATCAACCATATTTGCAAATCAGTATATTATAAAAAATATTTCAAATTACTATGTTGAGTCATAGGCAGGTATACGTCATTACAATGGTACTTATATGTTCCAAATATATGTTATCACACGTAAGGGTCTCTAGTTGTTAAGAATAACAACAAACTAATGTTTGAAAATATAATCATCGTCTGATGATGCTTCATTGTCAACCAAAAATACAGCAATTTTCTCTACAGAATAAAGATGAAAACTATGTTTTTTGAGGTAAAATTGACTTGGATGGCTAGATTCTATAGTGGCAGTAAGGCTTCTCTAAGCGTTCTCCCTTTGATTTGTGTACATTTGAGCTTACACACCTGGTTGGATTGAATGTGTGACAGACGATGGTCGACGAACTACACATCAAGGAGCATTGAATCAATAGATAGTTCATGAATATTGTTAATACAAGAATTAAGTTTTAACTCAAGTCAATAAATAAACTTTAAATAAATCAATCAATCACTTAAATTTTCTTCTAGTACGTTTATGGTTTTTCAATAATTAGGTTTAGGTGAACATTTTTCTGGGCACTCTGATACATGCTAGAGGTTCAAATTAGCTCTTTCTTCCAGAAGCTCATGGTCAAACGATGTTTGCAAGCACACTTTGAACGGTACATACTTCCGTAGCAGTTTGAGCCTTAGGAACAACAGCAAGAAAAGAAAAGAGAAGAAAAGAAAAGAAGAAAAGGAAAACACCTGTCGCTGGCTGAAGAAGTTGGGGAAAGACCCAATCCAGCAGGTGATGGCCAAAAGATGAGGAAGAATTTGGTTCACTAGTCTCGATGACAAAATGGTTAGCGGGAGATCACCTTGAAGAGATGTCATCCAAAGCATGGGAAGGAAGAAACGTGACATAGTGGTACATGTGACGCCCTCACGGTGTGCCGGACATGGCGTCTGAAGCGGCATATGAGTTGCCTGA